CCTGGTGCCAAAATTGAACGATATTTAGGAAATTTAAATTTTTTTTTTCATTCGTGAAAGCACGTGTATTAGAGAAGTAAATATACATATACAATTAAATAATTGAGTTGTTAAAAAAATGTATTTGTAATTTTAGAGCGGTGGTCTAAGTGGTTTTGTTCATTGTTTTGTTGCCGAGGTTATGGCTATAGTGCGTGCACATGTAACAGCACTTGGTGGAAATGCAATGGTAGCTTATTTTATGAATGAATGTATTTTACTTAACAATCCTCATAAAAATCAAGTGAGATGTTAGAGAATAAGCATTATTTATAGAATAATTTAAGTTTAATATGAAAATCAATTAAATATTTTTTTTAATTTATCTAAATATTAAAATATTAATCAATTTTTATTTTCAGGGACAATGTCTTCTAAATGTTGGAGGTGATGTAGTTGAAGTATCATACTTTAATGATGAATAGATAATTCATAATAAATTGATTATAAATTCATAAAATTGGCATTATTATACATTTGCCCAAAAATATTAGAAATAAATTACAATTATTAAACATTTTTTAATTATTTAATTTGATTTTTGCTTGCATTACCAATTGTATTGATATATATATATATATATATATATATATATTGTCTAAGTATATAACATATTAAAATATACATGTAGTACTTATCCATTAGTATTTTATGTAATTGACTAACATGTTTTAATAATCAAATTCATTATTAAATAAAAAAATAAAAATTGTAAAATAAAAATTAGTTGTTTGATTCATTTATTATTATTAGCTAAAAAAAACATAGTTGAGGATAGTGGTTCTGAACCTTTTTATATCTATGTACTGGCTATACATTTTAAAAATATTCATGTATCACATGTATGAAAAAGAAGAAGTCCTTTGCATATTACTCATCAACTTTTCAAGTATCATAGATTGAGAAATGCTGGTTAGGTTAGGTTAGGTCCTAACCTGGATTAGGATGATAAAAATAAAAATTCAAATGTTACCAACAACTGGGCCTTGATTATAAGTATGTTAATTAAGTAATTATTGAAAGAAATTAAATTTCATTAAATTTTTTTAAATTTTAATGTATAGTATTAATTTAATTAATTTAAATTTTTAAATTTCAAATTTGATCGAAAACTGCATTATATGAGTTTATATTAGTTATTTATAAAAACCAATAAAAATTATAAGGTAAAGTGATTTATCAAATTATATATTATGTATATGTAATATTTTGCAACTATTTACGTTAAAAACAAGCATTTTACCGGCCGTATTTTTGTGTACACTTTTGGCTAGTTAATTGATAGATACTTTCGGTAGTATTTTTAATCAACTGCTGTTCACTCAAAAGTTTTATTTTCAAAAAAGAGTGTAAAATTAGAATATGACTTGTGACGATCTCACTATTTCAATTATATCGGTGTACCCAACTTCGTGATTCCCACATGCTGCCGACGAAATTCCAACCTACGCGCAATGACACTGTCCCCATCCACAGTTTGTGCGAGTGCTATCCGATAGTGGTTCTATTAATGTAGTATACTTTTAAAACATATAAATAAAAAATAAATTTTGCACGTTTGAAATTTTGAACGACCAAATATTTTCAACGAATGCTGATTTTATCGAGTTATGATCTTTATCATCGTATTGTTGTAATTAGTTTTTATTTTTTATTTTTTTGTTCAAATTTTACGCCTGGAAGCTTTGCAGGCACCAAATTAATAAAATTAACTTTTTTATTTCTTTACAATTCTTGTTTTTTTTTTGTTGATTACTTTTTTCTTCCCTAAAAAATAAATATGTTATGAAATCCTATGAGCTTCGACAAATTGTCTAATCGTTCAAAGTGACCATTAATTATATTCATAGAAGTATTTACGTCTGAAGAAGTAATATTTTAAGTACCTACTTCTGATTTTTTATTCTAATAACATTATACAAAAATATTAAAAACAAGTAATTATTATTATAGTTCAGATCAGTGTTTCTCAACCTTTTTTTATGTTACCGCCCCATTGAGTAGGAATCAATCCTTTAACGCCCCCCCTATGTGAAAATTCTATAATTAATGGTATGGGCTGAGAGATAGGAAAGAAGTTGATGGTTTGGAAAATTTGAAAAAAAATTTGAATAATTATCTCATAACTAATGTTTTTATTTATGTTTTATTTTTTATATTTTTTTAATTATAGTACTAGTATATTAATTAAATTAAACATTTGAAAATAATTTATCAATTTTATTTTATAGTAAATACATTTTTAGTTTATTTAGAAAAAATATTACTTTTAAAAAATATTTTTAAATCAAATAAAAAATATTGCTTTTATTGCTTTTGTAGATATTTACCCATGTATTTTTGTAGTAAAATTTTTTTTTAAAAAACACGTTTTTAACAGACTGAATATTACAAGTATAATAACGAAAATTAATACAACATGAGCAGGTCAAATCAAACGGTTCACTAAAAGGTTGGTTAATATAGGTACTTACCTATAATAAAATACAATGTCCATGCACAATCGGTAAAATAATAAAGATAATAAATTTATCAACAATGAAAGATATGTTATTGTGCATTGCTCAACATATAGTACCTATTAGTAACTAATAGTTATTATATGGATTATCAAGTATGAATTATTTTTAGGTCACACCATGTACAACGTTTTTGCGTGAACACACTTGCCTTACCACCCAAAACTTGTTCATCGCCCCCCTACCGCCCAAAAATAGTTCAATGCCCCCCCAGTGATACTTCACCGCCCACTGAGGGGCGATATCGCCCTCGTTGAGAACCACTGGTCCAGATAATAGTAAATATTAGTAATATTCTTCAAATCTAAATGATACAAACATAAGCATTTTACCTAATGGATTATAATCGTTCTTCGTAAAACAACGAATTCGCAGTTCAAGGATATAACATGACATTGATGATTAAAATAATGAAAATAAAATGTCAAAATGTAGGTATTAATGTCATTAAGTGCGTGAGTGGTATAGGTTTATTAATTACTTACTATTATTGTAGGTACTACTTACTATTATTAAATTACCACATTTGAAGTGTTTTTAAAACAACAAACTACGAAATAAAACACTGTGCGAATTAGAACTTAATTGCTTTTTTTTAAATTTATTGTGTTTATTTAGTTTAAAAACAGAAAACAACAGTAATAACAGATGTATCTGATAAAAACTGATACATTATAAAATAAACTTATCTGTAAGGGTAAATATTTGGAATAGTAATATATAATAAGAATGATCCAATACTAATTTTCTTACCAAATAATGCTAAAAAAAATATTTTTAATATTTTGAAGTCAATTCTTTTTTTTTACAAAAATAATAATTTATTGCATATTATTATCACTTGTTTAAGTTTTTACCTTTTTCAAATAACTACGTATATACAGTATTATACGTATTATTAAGAAAATGTCGATACATAAAATCAAATTTGGAACCACATTATAGGTAATTAAGTTTATCTATATAACGTTTAGATGAGTGGATGTAAGTTAGGTAGGACATTTGTTAAAATACATTATTTTAATAGTTCATTTAGAATTTAAGTACTTAAAATATAGATGAAAGGAGATCATTTATTGCACTATTATTATATTGTGTTTACTAACATATAGCATTTTAAACACTATATACTATATGTATTATTTAACATAAATTATTGTAAATTATTAAATCATTAACAAACATAAAAGTTATAATATTTAATAGGAAAAATGTTAATCATTAAATTTACATCTTAAGTCTAGGTATGTTGATATACTAATTTCTTTGAATTTTAATTTTTAACGACGTTCCGTTGAGCATACTGCTTGGAAGTCAAAACGCATGTGTGATGTGGTGTCCGAGTTAATGTCAATGTTTCTATTTTATTTTAGACAAATTAGATAAAAAATACTCCATATCTAATGTGAATTATAAATTACTAATTAGGACGGTTTAGTCAGATATAAGTAACTATATAATAGAGGTTATTGAAGTAAAAGTGATTTTAAAAATTAAATTTTTTATTTAATTTACTATCTTTTTTTTGTAATAAACCAAAAAATTAGCTATTGGATTAAAACAAGTTTATCTTACGAATATATATGATACCAAACGATCGGTCCACGATTCGGATTTGAATAATTATTATGTATCGACAGATCTTATTTCAAAATGTTATGTAATAATGTAATAATATTAAAATAGTGTCATTTTAATGTAATATTGTGTACCGTGAAAAATATAATATTTATATATTAGTTATGAATAACCTTAAGTTTCCATACAAGATGGCCCAATCATATATGTCGTAAGTATATAATGAGTAACAACCATAATATTGTTTAGAGCATTATCATACTTACCACTATATTTACTGATTATATTTGGAGATTTATTTTTTGTAAAACAAAAGTATACTACTAGAAAAACCTTTTTATAAAATCGTAGTTCCGATTAAATAATTTTTATTTAATTTGTTGCCAATAAATGCATTTCATTGTCTTTTTTTTTGTATTGCATGTGTTGACTTTCTAATTTCATATAGTTTTTGTGTATTTATAAAGAGTATAAAGTAATAAATATTGTACGCAACAACTTGCTTGATACGAATTTATTGATTCAAATTTTTTTTCTGATTGACAAAGTTTAGTACGAGACTACCAGATAAAAAGTATAGGGTAAAGAAGTATGAGAAATTGTATTGTTGGTTTCAAAAAGGTCGTAATTCCGTACATATTTATATGTATTTGATTAATATGTGTGAGAGACAAAAGTCAAATATATGCAAATCAATTTATCACGAATTACCGTAACACCACTAACGATTATAATTCGTTGAAAATGCAAATAATTATACTTACTTTTGTTGTAATCACTAAAAGTTAAAAAAAAATTAGCAAAAAGCATTACAAAGCAAAATATAGGTATAATATATAAAATAATTGTTTAATGATTTACTTTAATAAAAAAACAAAAATGTTTTATATATCTTATTCCAATTTTAGAATCCAATTTTAATATCATAGATATATGTGAGGTGTATAAGTTATGATAATATTTACAACTGTGGGTAGTAATATTAAAGATAAATTAGATAACAATGTATATATATATTATGTGTATTGGCAAACAATACACGAACATAATTCATAGTATTACCTGTAATAATGTTATTTATTTATTGTTTATAGTTCATATGAAAATACAGAGTGTGGCAAAAAAACTTCCCTGATTTGTGAAATTTATAAATATCAAACTAAGTCAAATATGAGTGAAATGTTTTATTTATTAATTGTAGATATACTCGTAATGTTATTTTAATTAAACTATTTTTAAAAATTACAAAACTGACGACCCTCATTTTCAATACATTTATTGAGCCTTATTGGTAGTTTTTTATGACCACATTTAAGGTTATTTATATATTATTATTAGGTGGAGAGGCAGCAACTTCCTCAGTTATTACCTCTTTCAGAGCTTCTACAGTTTGGA